CATCAATCTCGTATTTTCTCTTTGTTGAACATACACTTACTTGTACTTTAGGACTTGTATTTGATCTACAGATGAATGATGGAATAATGAAATTTACTTCTGTACGTCAATTCGGTCTCACTGTATTTCAGTGGGCGACTTTTAAAAGTTAAAACTACAAGCGTAATACACACAAATAACGTAACACTGTGTCGTATTTACTAACGTAGGGCAGTTGCGCTCTATCCTAGGGGAGGTCATAAGTATTAATTAATAGGCATTATAGGCCAAAGGAAATTTTGTGCCCCTTCACATCTGCGCCCGGGGGCGACTGCCCCCCTCTTGCTACGCCACTGGTGCTGCACATTCTGCGGGTCGCGGGTTCGAATCCCCGTCCCACCAAACATGCTTGCCGTCGGGGCGTTACTATGTGACGGTCAATCCCACTATTCGTTGGTGAAAAGAGTAGCCCCAAGAGTTGGCGGTGGGTGGTGATGACTAGCTGCCTTCCCTCTGGTCTTACACTGCTAAATTAGGGACGGCTAGCGCAGATAGCCCTCGTGTAGCTTTGCGCGAAATTCAAAACAAACAAACAATCATTTGTGTGGGCACTATAACGTTATAGTCAATTCTGTTATTCATCGTTTTAACAGTATTTTCCCAATAAAATAGTTTTGCTTCTAATTCAAGATGCGAGATTTTTTGTTTTTTATTGTTTTTGAAAAAGAAAAAACAAGAAAGCAAAGAAATGATAGAGAGTGATTTTTCATCTTTAGGAAATATACCTAAAAATTGTCATTTTCTGAGGTAACGAATCTATTTTTATTTCAATGTGGTTTTGTTTACCATTAATTTATTATTCCTTCTATGTTTAGTTTAACTATGAATGTTTAGTTACAATAAAGTGATAACTCACCTTCTAATTGATCACAGTGATTTTGAGTAAGTTTTATGTGTTATGTCTCTAACAGTGACGTGCTGAATTATTAATGTTGCGATAGATTATGTAAATTTATGGTCACATGAGATGTAATCTCGTGTTCTAACGACTGAATAAAAACCATGCCATGAGCTTCAACAAGTTAGTTCACGAGATAAAGCTGAAAGATATTATTGCTAATTAGCACTCGATGTTGCTCGTGATTTTGTAGTTGCTTAAATATAGAAATTGTTATTTTGGAATTAGGTTTTTTTTCTTTGTCTGGTTCTTTTCCTGATTTTCATATTTATTGAAATAAATATCAACCTTAATATTTATGTTAAATTGTTTTTTAATGTTAGTATACAATCCTGTTTCTGTTGTTTTCAAAGTTCAATAAATTCGTTTGTTTGCATTTTAGGCTGTTCCAATTTTGTTTTTGATGTTCTTTGAAAAAACAAGCTTTTCG